CTACCCAGAAGGTTGAGTGAGGACTCTTGACCAGTGTTGGCCATGCTCTTTATGTGTACTTTCTAAGACTATAATGAGTTCTCATTCTTCGCTCACTTAAACTTGTCATTGCTCGAGTCAGTCAGTCTTGCTTCTTGCATTGTCGTCGCTGATGACTGCATTTCTCTGATGATTCTGTCACGGTTCTCAAAATTAGTAAACTGGCAAAATTGATGTATGCACGACACACCAAAATTTTATGATTATTATTTGCATGATTCTTTGCTTTTCCGAATCAAAATAAAAGATTCCTAAGACCGGGGACCAACGACGACCGCAATTGAAGTGTCTTGCTCGAAGCCGGATGCGCACAATAGGAAGGGATTTGCATTATTTAATCTATTTTATTTATTGCAAAAATAATCTACAAAACCCTGCGTAACTGCCTGTTGGTTTTCCGGTCGCTTGAAGTGGCCCGACAAGAAAAAGTGCGACAACGCCAGCTCCAGAAACCGGACCTGAGATAGTGTCAAATGTCGCTCAAGAGGCAGAGGAGGAATGTCGGTAGAGAGAGATTCCACCACCTACCCCAGATACGACTCTTTCGTCAGGGGTGAGGATAGAGATGGAGCGAGAGAGGACTGGTTGGAGGAGAGAGGCCCTTTCTACGATCGATAGGTATCTCGTTGCGCATGCCTAGGAACACCCTGACATTGAGAGGCCTATGGAGCCACCACGGAAGCCACACCAGGCGAAGCGAGAGGCGTTGGCTGAGATTTTAGAGAGTGGGGACCATCGCACGAGATGGAGAGTGCCAGCAGGAGAGATAACAGAGGAGAGACGAACGAGGATGGGGAAGCACGTGAAGGAGATTTGGGAGGAAAGGCAGAGATTAGACGCGGCAGGAGCACTTCCAGATCAGCCACCTGATGCGCCCCCTAAACCCAAGGAGATATGGGATGAGTTTTGGGGCCTGTATGGCGAGGGGTTGGCGGCTCCAGAGGAGAGATGGTTAACAGGTGCATATATTTTCAGGTCTCCTTTCAGGCAGTTCAACCACTTTAGGTTACTACACTTTCGGATTGTGTGTGGATCTATACATGGGGTTGTTTGAAACCACCTTCAGGCAGTTCAGCCACTTCAGGTTGATCCATTGCGAATGGTGGGATGGGGGTATCTGAAACCCCTTTCAGAAGCTTCAGCCACTTCAGCGGTTTCAGGTTCCCACCTGAAATTCTTGAAATGACCTGAAGTGGTTGAAGCTTCTGAAAGGGGTTTCAGGTACCCCCATCCAAATGGTTGGATGGGGGTACCTGAAACCCCTTTCAGAAACTTCAGCCACTTTAACGGTT